TCCAACTGTTAAATCTGTACATGACTAATGGAAAAACCATAGCTTTGACTGTATGGAACTTTGTTGGCAAAGTGATGTCTATGTTTTTTTTAATATGCTGTCTAGTTTGTCATAACTTTTCTTCCAAAGAGCAAGCATCTTTTAATTTCATGGCTGAAGTCACCATTTGCACTAGTGACTTTGGAGCCCAAGAAAATAAAATCTGTCACTGTTTCCATTTGTTTCCCCATCTATTTGCCATGGAATGATGGGACTGGATGCCATGACCTTAGTTTTTTGAATGTTGAGTTTTAAGCCAACTTTTTCACTCTTTCACTTTCATCAAGAGGCTGTTAAAGTTTCTCTTTGCTTTTTGCCATTAGAGTGGTATCATTTGCATATCTGAGGTTGTTGATATTTCTCCCTGCAATCTTGATTCCAGCATGTGATTCATCCAGGCTGGCATTTTGCATGATGCATTCTGCATATAAGTTAAATAAACAGGGTGACAATGTACATCCTTGATGTACTCTTTTCCCAATTTTTTTACATATTATTTTTTGTAATCCAGAGCATTGGGCATGTGTATAACACATAACATTAGTTTACCCCCTGATTTTCTGACTTCCGCTTTTTCTGGGTTAAGCTTTAGCTGTTGATCTATATTGAGGAGCATTATGAAACGACTGTTCGAAACTTACCATGTTCATTCAGGATGAGTTTTGGGGATTATGTTTCATGGAATCATCTCTGTAAAGACCTTGGGGGAAATAATTCCTATAGTTGTCAGTCTAAACAACTGATGTCCCTTTCTCGAGCATTGGGTTTGTGTTTCTATCTTAAACTGTATAACAGATGGTGTTTCCTTTTTTGAACTGCTATTGAAGAAGCTCAGGAACAGATTTGTAGCCCTTTAATAGCAAAGTGGACTCTATGTTGTGACATGTATTTTGAATACTAATCTTTTTTAAAAATATATTTTATTGAAGTATAGTTGACTTACAATGTTTCAGGTTCACAGAAAGGTGATTCAGTTATACAAAACACATATATTATTTTTGAAATTATTTTCCATCATAGGTTACTACAAGATATTGACTATAGTTCCCTATACTATACAGTAAATTTTTGTTGCATATCTATTTTTTTTTTGCATATCTATTTTTAATTAGAAATCTGCCATTCTAGTCACACTAAGTCAGACAAGTGGAATCAAAATGTTATAATATTTTTAGTTAGGCAAAAATTCATAAGTTTTATAAAATATTTATATTATACATATTTATATGTATGCAAAAGCTTTTCTACTATACTTGATGAAGGCTGGAGAAAGAACATGAAAAAAGAGATGGAGAAATGGAGAACATAAACTAAATGAAATGAGAGCACTGAATGTGAAATCGAAAAATTGAAACAAACTAGATAAAAGTAAAAGATTATCATATAGTCCAGTTGTTTTTAAACATGACTGCTCATTAGTATCATCTGAAGTTTTGGAGAAAAGCAATACCTGAGCATTTGTATTTTTAAAAAAATTTCAAGGTAATTCTAATATGCGTCTAGATTTTAAAAAGTGATTACAGGTTTTTCTATTAGATCCAACTTTGGTGAGATAGAGGTCTGTTATTTTTCTGTTGGCCAACCATGATACAGTGGTATTAAGTGAGTAAATAGTTACATAATCACAACAGTAAAAGATGTTTGTCAGTTTTCACAAATCAATAGCCAGATAAAAGTTAAAAGTACAGTTGCAAGCCATAATGGGAACATGATTAACCTAACTATATAAAATAATTACATACAATTCAGGGGGTAAGTGGTAAGTGTACATATATGCACATGTTTTCATCCACCCAGCCAGTCTGTGTCTTTTGGTTCATTTAATCCATTTACATGTTAGGTAATTATTGATATGTATGATCCTGTTACCATTTTCTTAATTGTTTTGGGTTTACTTTCTGTAGGTCTTTTCCTTCTCTTGTCTCCTGTCTAGAAAGGGTCCTTTATCATTTGTTGTAAAGCTGATTTGTGGTCATGAATTCTCTTAACTTTTGCTTGTCTGGAAAACTTTTGATTTCTCCATCAAAGGTGAAGGAGAGTCTTGCTGGGTAGAGTATTCTTGGTTGTAGGTTCTTCCCTTTCATCACTTTAAATATATCATGCCATTCCCTTCTGGTTTGTAGAGTTTCTGTTGAGAAATCAGCTGATAGCTTAATGGGAGTTCCCTTGTATGTTGTCATTTTTTCCCTTGTTGCTTTTAATATTTTCTGTCTTTAATTTTTGTCACTTTTATTACTATGTATTTCGGTGTGTTCCTCCTTGGGTTTATCCTTCCTGGGACTCTGTCCTCCCTGGACTTGGTTGACTACTTCCTTTCCCATGTTCAGAAGTTTCCAGCTATTACCTCTTCAAATAATTCCTCACGTCCTTTCTTTCTCTCTTCTACTCCTGGACCCCTATAATGCGAATGTTGGTGCATTTAGTGTTGTCCCAGAGGTCTCTTAGGCTGTCTTCATTTCTTTTCATTCTTTTTTCTATATTCTGTGACAGTGATTTCCACCATTATGTCCTCTAGATTATTTGTCCTTTCTTCTGTCTCAGTTATTCTACTGTTGATTCCTTTTAGTGATTCATATCTGTTTGTTTGTTCTTTAGTTTCTCTTGAACTCTTCTGTCCCCACTCCAGTACTCTTGCCTGGAAAATCCCATGGATGGAGGAGCCTGGTGGGCTGCAGTCCATGGGGTCGCTGAGAGTCGGACACGACTGAGCGACTTCACTTTCATGCATTGGAGAAGGAAATGGCAACCCACTCTGGTGTTCTTGCCTGGAGAATCCCAGAGACTGGGGAGCCTGGTGGGCTGCCATATATGGGATCATATAGAGTCGGACACAACTGAAGCGACTTAGCAGCAGCAGCAGTACTCTTCTCTGAGCAGAGTTGAAGTTTTAGAGTGCCATAAAGTGGTGGGAAAGGAGTAACGAGACTTGGCAACTAATGCATCCTCTGTAAGGGAGAAAGTGGGGTCAAGGTGACAGGGCAGATTGTGGTGGAATCACTGAAAGAGTTTTATGTAGCAAAGGGAAGGGTTGAATATAGCAGGCAGGATATGTATAAAATGGGGCACCAAATATTCAGAGCATTTATTTGATATTGGTGCAGGTTCTATTCAGGGAATACTTTGAGGTTTTATATTTAGTAATTTCAAAGTATTTTATGTCTGTTTATAGTGGTTATAATTATTTTCTTTGTCTTTGAAACCCAAATCTCAAAAACTGAAAACTATTTATTTTTCCCTAATAGTAATTTCCTTCCCTCCAAATCTAACCAGTTATCAAATTTCATTACACCTCTTTTGAATAGGAGGTGAGTTTAAAATCCTTTTAGTCTCTTAGGGGTCTGCAGGTCTCTGCCCATAATCTCTATTCTCCTTGTTCAGATTCTGTAGACTCAAAGAGTTCTTCATGCTTGGCCTTTTGCTTCTCCGGTTCATTTTTATACCTCATCAGCAAGTGGACCTGTTTCATTTTTATGGTGTCTTGTCTATCTGTTGCCTACAGGATCATTTACTGATGATCTAGCTTCTCAAGTGATAATACATCATTGGGATAAGTTAGTTTTAATTGCACTAGTGGTAATCTCAGAAAATAGAATTTCCTATCTGTTTAAGGGTGGTAAGAAGTAAGAAAGTTTTCCCTAAGAATTTCAGATATTCCAGTAATAATACTTTATACCGTGAAGAATTTAGGACTAAATAAAGTGTGTCTATGGGGCTTCCCAGGTGGTGCTAGTGGTAAAGAACCTGCCTACCAGTGCAGGAAATGTCAGAGACACAGGTTTGATCCCTGGCTCAGGAAGATCCCGTGGAGAAGAAAATGGCAACCCACTACAGTATTCTTGCTGGAGAAGCCCATGGGCAGAGGAGACTGGCAGGCTATGGTCCATAGAGTCTCAAAGAGTTGGATGCAACTAAAGTTTCTTAGCTCACACGTGCACAAGAGTGTCTATAACTCATGTCTGGCTATGTATATTAGCTGCTAATATTTTCAGTATTTTTTGGCTGTTTTTTGACTTAGCATTTAATGCTCTAATTCTGTTTTTTACCATCCAGAATGCATCTGTATGCTTTCTCACTTGTGTTTCATGTTTGAACAAAGTCTAATTTCTATTTTGAACTTATGACAAAGATTCTATTGTCAAAATCCATTACCAATGCTGTAGAGACTACTAAATAAGGAATTTTCAAAGAAATTTTAAGCCTTATAATAGGTGTGACTCCTGTGGTCAGACTATAATCAGCTACTTTTAATAATAATAAAAGTGCTGTTAAAATTGTACAGAGCGGTAACACTTGTTATATTTTCTCACTTTCTACATATGGTGGCATAACAACTGTATCCAAAGGGGGGAAAATATCACGTACAAACACGTTTGTCTGTTGTTTTTGATTATGTAATTTGTTAGGCTGTTGCATTTTTCTTTGTGTGATAATTTTTTTCACCACTAGAATAATCCCAGATAGATGTTTTAATTTTTATAGTATTGAAAGAAATCATGTAGGGTCTAAATAAAGTTAAGAATTACAGTTTTAAAAAATGAGTCACATACATATTGACTAGTAATTAAGGCATAGCCATATTAATAATAAAGAACAATGCTATCCAGAATAAAAATCAAGTAGCAACTGATAGGTTTCCCTTGTAGTGGTTTTTCCCTTTGAGTTATTAACATCATATGAAATTGTGTCTTATTTATTCATTATAAATGCTTACTCTGTTTAGGGCTGCATAGTATAAATAACATGTGCTGGTGCTTAATAAAGTTTATAATTTTCTGATAAATTTGGTATGTGGTATATAGTTTTTTAAAATAAGTTTATACAATGAAAAATAGACTCCATTCTGAATGTGTGCATATCAAAATTTCAGCCTTTTCTTAAAAAGTTATTAAAATGATTTAAATATACAAATACTGCATTTTTGTAGAACTTTTCACCCATTATCCTTTTTTCTTCTCTTAAAGATCAGTGGATAAGTCAGTTATAGTGTATGATACTGTAAGTACTTCACATCTTGTGTGATCTTTGTAAATTGTGCTTGCTTGTTAGGCTGCTGAATTTCAAGTTGAGTTAGGCAGGATAAGGAAAATGTGTATATATATTTTTTTGTTTAGGGTGCCTAAAAAGATAATATGTACATTTCAGAAATACTTATATAGTTATGTAAATAAGGTATTGGTTCTGGGTCAAGCCCTGAAATATTTCAACAATGGTTTTAAGATAGACAGATATTTAATCTGATAAAAGAAAATACCAATTTAAAGAGCACCAGTATCCAAAACATCACTGTAAATCAATTATTCTTAAACTCTTACACCAGGTTTTCATAACAACAAAGGATTATTTACTGGAGGGTAAGACTATACTTTTAGGTATCATTTCTAATAGTTTGTTACTACATATTGGAGGGTTTTGGTAGCGCACAGCTGAAAGCCAAAAGTGACCCACTGCTTTAGAGTTGCAGCTGAGTTTAGAGACTAGTATAAGGAAGAGTAGGTTATAATGGATTTGGAGAAATGGGACTCTTTGGTAGATGCATGTGACTAAATACCGGGTGGAAGAAAATGAATGTTTAATATACTGTGAAAATATTCTCCGAGAGAAATCAGTGTTGAGTGGACCCTTACAGTGGTCGAATTTAGGTTGTAGCTATGCCAGCAAATGAAATAGAGATGTGAATCATCAAAGGAGTGTGTGGCAAGTAAGGAAGCTAAATAAGCTAGTTCTGCTCTTGGAAGTTCCAATCACTGAGAGTTCTGGCAGGAAATGGGGAAGAGTACTCAATTGAGGTGAAGTAGATCCTTACTATTTCTCAGAAAGTTTTCATGAAAAGTTTTACAGAAACAGCTAAAACATTAAATTTCCTCCATAAAATATGTATATGAGTCTCAGTTAAATACATCTAGATACTGGCTGGCCAGCCAAGTGCACTCAGAATTGAAGTGATTAATTTCTACTCACTGGTCTGCAGTGGGTACAGGTCAAATGCCATAACAGAAAAACAAATTATTTCATGGCTACTGTTAAGACAAATCAGCCAGGACTATATTAATCTAAAATTTTTAGTAGACAGCTGTAGTAATAATTGAGAAAGAATAAAATAAGTACTTGATGATGATATTATAAATGCTATTCTCTATTCATTGGATAAGTTTCAGCTTATATTAATGACTCAATAATATTGGAATACATAGAGTATATAAGCCATTCAGGTCAAGCAAGTCTTTGTTAGTAACTTCACTCTTGCCTGAGTAAATATAAAGCTGTTTGTTCTGTTATTTTTTCAGAACACTGAGAATATACTTCACACCCTGACTCAGCACACCAGGTCTGAACTTTTAACCTTGCTTTGTATTAATGTAATTTAAAAATTGGTCTAAGGATATATAATAGTTGTTTTTATTAACTAGGTATGTCACAACTTGTGCCTTTGCACCCAATATCCTTTTACTTGCTACTGGTTCAATGGACAAAACAGTGAACATCTGGCAATTTGATACGGAAACACTTTGCCAAGGTTAGTAAGGATATCATGTTTAACAGTACCACCACCATTCACCATTAAAATCAGAAATTCAGTGGTTTTTTGACAAATTATACATGTTGCTTTTTTCAATATAAAGCATACATCCAAGTTAATATAATTTAAAAGTAATTTTAGAAAACCCAGTGTTAAAGTTAACCCAGTCATCTATGTTAAAACTGTTGGTAAATGCTTTTGGGTGAATGCTCAGTTACATCATACCTCCCATAGTTTTGTAAGCTCTTTATTTATACTCTGTACTGACTTTTCAGATATTAAAAAATATAGCCTAGGACAAAGTAGAAATCATTTTGTCCTAGTGGTTTCATTTTTAGTTTCATTAAGCAGCACTGACACAATTTAGAAGTTTTATTTTTATCACTGTCAAAATTAGCTAACTAGTGGTGCTGATATGCAGATGACAGATCAAATACAATACTTCTGCTGATGCCAGTTTTATATAATGTTAAACTTTTTCTGGAGTGAAAAAGCTCCAAAAGAGTAGCATTTAATTAAATAATGCTTTAATTATATGTAGTATTTGATTTAAAAAATTTTTTTAAAAAGATGTTAAAGTAGAAAACACAGATTTAAGAACATTTTGTTTACTTTTTAGTACAAAGTGAGAATCTTTATATTGGGCTTCCCAGGTGGTGCTGGGGTAAAGAACCCATCTGCCAATGCAGGAGACTTAGAGAGATGTGGGTTCAGTCCTTGGGTCTGGAAGTTCCCCTGGAGGAGGACATGGCCACCCACTCTAGTATTCTTGCCCAGAGAGTCCCTTGGACAGAGGAGCCTAGAGGACTACAGTCCACAGGGTTGCGAAGAGTTAGACATGACTGAAGCCATGTAGCACACACGCAAGAGAATCTTGATAAACGATATACTTTTGCTTATTATTTCACTTACCTTTTTGTTTGATGTTCTTTTATTTGTTTTTTAAGCAAAGATCCAAGATCAACCAAAGCAGCTTACTGAAAATTGGTCAGAGGAGGATGTCTCAAACTGGCTTTGTGCCGAAGGTTTAGAAGACCTCGTTGATATTTTCAAAATGAATAACATTGATGGAAGAGAATTATTGAATCTTACAAAAGAAAGTCTAGCTGATGATTTGAAAATAGGTAAGACTAGTGAAAGAAAGTCTTAAAAACAACTTTTAATAATTTACTATGAGATTGGTTTTAATTGCATTAACGGTTTCCTCTTAGTATTCTTATTCTAGCACATTAGTTATTCTGGAATATGTTTTTGTATAAAGGAGAGTATGTTTTTAGTAGATTATAGAAAAGAAATGTCACATACTGTTTTTTAGGCAATTAAAGCCACCATGTAACTAATTTTAAAAACATGTGTTTTTTTAAGTTGCAATATAATTCACCCTTTTAAAAGTGTACAGTAGTATAATAAGTGACTCTAGTATACTATTCAGATGTACAAGCATCGCAACTGTAATTCTAGAACAATTTTACCACTTCAGAAAGAAATCGCATGCCCATTAGCAGTCATTCCTATTTCCTTTCTCTCTAGCTCCTGGCAACAACTAATTACTTTTTGTCTCTAAGGATTTGCCTATTCTTGACATTTCATATAATGTCAAGACCTTCTGTGTCTGGCCTCTTTTGCTTAGCATGTTCTCAAAGATTCATAAATGTTGTAGTATATATTAGTACTTCATTTTTATAGCTGAATAATATTTCATTATATGAGTTATCACCTTTTACTCATCCATACATCAGTTGATTGAATTTAGATTGTTCTCATTTTTAATGTTTTTTAAATTACGCTACTTTGAACATTATCATGTACAAGTTTTATGTGGGCATCTATTTTCAGTTTTCTTGGATGTTACTGATTTATATCCACAGAACTTAACCAGAAGAAGACATAGTCTTTTGTGATTGGGGGCTGGGAGTGAGTGTTATTAAATTTCATCACTTAGAAAGAAAAGACACCCTTACCAGCTAAACCCTCGGTGTGTATAACGGGCAGTATTTGACTATATATGCTTTAACTCTGAAAAAGCATCTGACTCTTAAGATGACAAATTAAATACTCCATCAGCTCCTGTACTCTCTTTTCTATCCCGCCCCCAGTCCTGGAAATGTTGTGTGTTTGAGAATTGATGGAGTCTAGATACAAACAGCATCAAAAATATAAAACTTGTTTGAGTGGAATTGGCGGGTCTTATGGTAGCTCTATGCTTGCATTTGAAGAACTGCCAGGATTGTTTTCTAAAGCAACTGTGCTTTTTTCTTTTTTTAAAGTAATCTCTTTCTTTAAAAAAAAAATCATTTATTTCTGGCTGTACTAGGTCCTTGTTGGCTGCACACAGGCTTTCCTAGCTGCCCTGCGCAGGGACTGCTCTCTAGTTGCAGTGCCCGGGCTTCTTACCGCAGTGGCTTCTCCTGTTGCAGAGGATGGGTTCTAGGGTACTCAGGCTTCAGTAGTTGTGGCACATGGGCTTAGTTGCCTTGTGGCATGTGGGATCTTCCCAGACCAGCAATCAAACTGTGTCCCCTGCATTGGTAGGCAGATACTTAACTACCAGACCACTAAGGAAGCCCCTCATTGTGGTTTTGATATGCATTTTTCTGATGTCTAGTGATGTTGAACAGTTTTCCATGTGCTTGTTACCTATTTATATATCAAACTGGAGATTACTGTCATGTTAAACAGTATTGATTCTTCTAATCCATAAGCATAGGATATTTTTCTGTTTATTCAGATCTTCTTAATTTGTTTCAAAAGTGCTTTGTAATTTTCAGTGTACAAGTCATTTTTTTAACTGTGTAATTCAGTGGGTTTTCATATACTCATAGAATTGTATAACCACCACTATATAATTTCAGAACATTTTTGTTTTCCCCAAAGAACCCCATTCATTTCTCATTCAAGCCTTTGGCAACCACTAATCTATCTCTTGTAGAAATAAGATTTATCTATTTTGGACATTTTTTGTAAGTGAGTTTTATTTAATACTGTGCTTTGTATCAGTTCAGTTCAGTTGCTTAGTTGTGTCTGACTCTTTGCGACCCCATGGACTGCAGCACACCAGGCCTTCCTGTCCATCGCCAACTCCTGGAGTTGACTTAAACTTACGTCCATCAAGTCAGTGATGCCATCCAACCAGCTCATCTTCTGTCATCCCCTTCTCCTCCTGCCTTCAATCTTTCCCAGCATCAGAGTCTTGATTTCAAATGAGTCAGTTCTTTGCATCAGGTGGCCAGAGTTATGGAGTTTCAGCTTCAGCATCAGTCCTTCAGGAATATTCAGGACTGATTTCCTTTAGGATGGACTGGTTGGATCTCCTTGCTGTCCAAGGGATTCTCAAGAGTCTTTTCCAACACCACAGTTCAAAAGCATTAATTCTTTGGCACTCAGCTTTCTTTATAGCTCAGCTCTCACATCTATAAGTGACTACTGGACAAACCGTAGCCTTGACTATGTGGGCCTTTGTTGGCAAAGTAATGTCTCTGCTTTTTAATATGCTGTCTAGGTTGGTCATAACTTTTCTTCCAAGGAGCAAGCGTCTTTTAATTTCATGGCTCCAGTCACCATCTGCAGTGATTTTGGAGCCCCCCCCAAATAGTTACTGTTTCCAGTTTCCCCATCTATTTGCCATGAAGTGATGGGACCAGATGCCATGATCTTACTTTTCTGAATGTTGAGTTTTAAGCCAACTTTTTTGGTCTCCTCTTTCACTTTCATCAAGAGGCTCTTTAGTTGTTTACTTTCTGCCATAAGGGTGGTGTCATCTGTATATCTGAGGTTATTGATATTTCTCCTGGCAATCTTGATTCCAGCTCGTGCTTCATCCAGCCCAGTGTTTCTCATGATGTACTCTGCATATAAGTTAAATAAGCAGGGTAACAGTATACAACCTTGACATACTCTTTTCCCTATTTGGAACCAGTCTGTTGTTCCATGTCCAGTTCTAACTGTTCCTTCCTGACCTGCACACAGATTTCTCAAGAGGCAGGTCAGGTGTTCTGGTATTCCCATTGTATAAGAATCAGCAACTAATAAACCAAGTTTCATAATGTTTAAAAATGTAAGATGGAATTTTTATATTAAACTGAACATCTTTATAAGTGATTTTTAGGAAACTGTTCTCTAACATAGCCTTTTCTAATTTTGTCTAGTATATGGGTGTTTGGGCAATCTGAAATTCTTGAGGAGCTTTCAGAATCTAAAGTTGCTTAGAATAATCTTTCTATTGCTGAGTTGTTTTAATCACACAGTATTCTGTACTACAAAGATTCATTAAGGAATTTGTAAAGAAAAGGTTCTATGTGGTAAAACAATATTTCTGAAGATTTTTGGTTATAGTAGATAAAAGTTTACTCTGCTGAAGACTTGCATAAAGCTTATAGATAGTTCTCAAGCCCTAACAGAATAATTTCTTTTCAGAATCTCTAGGGCTGCGTAGTAAAGTTCTGAGGAAAATTGAAGAACTGAGGACAAAGGTGAAAACCCTTTCTTCTGAAATTCCTGATGAATTTATATGTCCAATAACTAGGGAGCTTATGAAAGATCCTGTCATCGCATCAGGTATGTGTGATGCTGTTGTAAGTTTCAGGGTGTTTATGTACTAAGTGAGTAAATAGTGTGGACCACAGAAGTTTGTTTAGATGTGGAAATTTTTCAAAATTATCATTACATTTCTCACAAGTAGTGAGACAAGTAGTTGTTTTGTTTTATTTAATAAAACAAGTAGTTTTATTCTTTTTTAAAATTCCTTAGATCTGAGGTGAACTGTTGAACCCTGTGTATTTCTTTTTTTTTAATTGGAGTGTAATTGCTTGACAGTGTTGTGTTAGTTCTGCTTTACAACAAAGTGAATCAGCTACATGTATACATATTACATATATCCCCTCCCTGTTGAGCCTCCCTTAACCACTCTCCAATCCTCCCCCTCTAGGTCATCACAGGTACCAAGTTGAGCTCCCTGTGCTAGACAGCCGCTTCCCACTAGTATACATATGTGTGTGTGTGTATGTGTGTGAGTGTGTGTGTGTGTTAGTCCTGATCTCTCAGTTCATCCCACTGTCCCCTTCCTCCCACTGTGTCCACATGTCCATTCTCTTCATCTGCATCTCTTTTCGTGCCCTGCAAATAGTTCATCTATAGCATTTTTTCCTGGATTCCACATATACGCATTAATATACAATACTTGTTTTTCTCTTTCTAACTTACTTCACTCTGTACAACAGACTCTAGGTCCATCTACTTCTCTGCAAATGTCCCAATTTCATTCCTTTTTCTGGCTGAATAATATTCCTCTGTGTGTGTGTGTGTGTGTGAGACGTACTGTAACTTCTTTCCATTCATGTATCACTGGACATTCAAGTTGCTTCCACATCCTGGATGTTGTAAATAGTGGTGCAGTTAACACTGAGGTACATGTGTCTTTTTTTTTTTTTAACTTTTTTTTAAAAAAACAGTCACCTAACATAAAATTTACGATCTTAATCATATTTAAGGATACAGTTCAGTAGTGTTAAGTATATTCACATTATTGTGAAACAAAGAGATCACCAACACTTTTCATCTTATAAAACTGAAACTCTATGCCCATGTAAACAACTCCCCTTTTTCCTCACTCTCCAGCCTCTGGTAACTACTGTTCTACTTTCTGATTCTATGAATTTGACTACTTATAGAACTCAGATAAAGCTGAATCATACATTTATCTTTTTGTGACTGGCTTAACATAACTTCAAAATTTGTCCATGTTTTGGGATTTCCTTTTTTGAAGACTAAATAATATTCATGTTGTGTGTATACCACATTTTGTTTATTCATTTATCCACTGATGGAGATTAGGCTTGCTTTCACTTCCTGGCTATGTGAATAGTGCTATTTTGAATATCAGTGTGCAGATGTCTCTTTGAGACTCTGCATTCAGTTCTTTTGGATATTTACTAAGAAGTGAGATGGCTGTATCATACAGTAGTTCTGTTTGTGATATTTTTGAGGAACCTCCATAATGTTTTCCATACCAGTTACACCATTTTACAGTTTTATAGTCTCACCAAACTTTCCACAAGAGTTCAGATTTCTGCATATCCTTAACAACGCTTGTTATTTTCTGTTGTTTTGATTGTGAATATTTGTTTTCACAATGTCTCCTTGTGGTTTTTATTTGAATTTCTTAAATGGTTAAAGATGTTAAATATCTTGTCACATGTTTAATGGCATTGGTGTATCATTTTTGGAGAAATGTCTTTTCAGTTCCTTTGTACCTTTTTAAAATGGGTTATTTGATTTTTTTATTGTTGACTTGTAGCAGTTCTTTCCATATTCTGGATATTAATCCCTTATCAGCTATATGATTTGTAGAAGTTTATTTCTATTTCCTAGGTTGTCTTTTTTTTTCCAGTTTATTTTATTGGAGTATAATTGCTTTACAATGTTGTTAGTTTCTGCTATACAACAAAGTGAGTCAGCTATATGTTTACATATATCAGCTCCCTCCCGAACCTCCCACCCACCCCATCCTATCTGTCTAGGTCATCTTTCCCTATGCTCCCTATAACTTCTCAACAGCTATCACTGTTTTACACACGGTAGTGTATATATGTCAATGCTGCCTTCCCAATTTGTCTCAACCTCTGCTTCCCCCCATGTCAACATATCCATTGTCTCCATCTAGGTCTCTGTTCATGTCCTGCAAATAGGTTCATCTATGTACACTTTTCCTAGATTTTGTATATATGCATTAATATATAATATTTTCCTTTCTGACTTACTTCACTCTGTATGGCATACTCTCGGTCCATCCATATCTCTACAAATGACCCAATTTCATTCCTTTTTTAAATTTTTTTCAATTTTTATTAGTTGGAGGCTAATTACTTTACAGTATTGTAGTGGTTTTTGCCATACGTTGACATGAATCAGCCATGGATTTACATGTGTTCCCCATCCCAGTCCTCCCTCCCTCATTCCTTTTTATAGCTGAGTAATAATCATTTTGTGTGTGTGTGTGTGTGGTGTATATATATCACATACTTATCAGTTCACATGTCAATGAACATTTAGATTGCTTCCATCTCCTGGTTATCATAAATAGTCCTGCAGCGAACATTGGAGTACATATGTCTTTTTGAATTATGATTTTCTCAGGGTATATGTGCAGTAGTGGGGTTATAGAGTCATATGGTAATTATATTTTCAGTTTTTTAAGAAACCTCCAAACTGTTCTCCATAGTGGCTGTATCAATTTTTACATTTCCACCAACAGTGCAAGAGGGTTCCCTTTTATCCACATCCATTTCAGTATTTATTGTTTGCAGATTTTATGATGATGTCCATTCTGACCAGTGATAAATCATTGTAGTTTTGATCTGCATTTCTCTAATAACTAGTGATGCTGAGCATCTTTTCCTGGGTTTGTTGGCCATCTGTCATTGATTTTGCCATCAAATCTGAATGAGAGTATTGCTGGATAGAATATGCTTGGTTGTAGGTTCTTCCCTTTCATCACTTTAAATATATCATGCCATTCCCTTCTGGCTTGTAGGGTTTTTGTTGAGAAATCAACTGATAGCCTGTTGGGAGTTCCCTTGTATGTTGTCATTTCTGCCCCCTCCCACCCCCTCACCCCTGCCATGTTGCTTTTAATATTTTATCTTTGTCTTTAATTTTTGTCAACTTGATTACTATGTGTCTCGGTGTGTTCCTCCTTCGGTTTTTTCTGCCTGGGATTCTCTGTGCCTCCTGGACTTGGTTGACTATTTCCTTTCCAGTGTTTGGGAATTTTTCAGCTATCTCATCAAATATTATCTCAGGTCCTTTCTGTCTTTCGCCTCCTTCTGCCTCAATTACTCTGTTACTGATTCCTTCTAGTGTATTATTCATTTCTGTTTGTTCTTTAGTTTTTCTAGGTTTTGGTAAACATTTCTTGTATCTTCTCCATTGTTTTCCCGAGATCGTGGATCATCTTCACTATCATTATTCAAAATTCTTTGTCTGGAAGGTTACCTATCTCTACTTCATTTAATTGTGTATAGTCTGAAGCCAGGAAGGTTGATTCCTCCAGCTCCATTTTTCTTTCTCAAGATTGCTTTGGCTAATTGGTGTCTTTTTGTTTCCATACAAATTATAAAAATTTTTGTACTAGTTCTGTGAAAAATGCCCTTGGTAATGTGATGAGGATTGCATTAAATCTGCGGATTGTTTAGGGTAGTCCAGTCATTTTTACAATATTGATTCTTTCAATCCAAGAACATATTATATCTCTCTGTGTTATCTTTGATTTCCTTCATCAATGTCTTACAGTTTTCTGCATATAGGCTTTTGTCTCCATAGGTAGGTTTATTATTCCTAGGTATTTTATTCTTTTTGTTGCAGTGGTAAGTGGGATTGTTTCCTTAATTTCTCTTTCTTATTTTTTTGTTGTTAGTTTATAGGAATTCAAGGGATTTCTGTGTATTGATTTTGTATCCTGTGACTTTACTAAATTCACTGAATGGCTCTAGTAATTTTCAGATTTTATCTTTAATGTTTTCTATGTATAGTATCATGTTGTCTGCAGACAGTGACAGTTTTACTTCTTTTTCAATCTGGATTCCTTTCATTTCTTTTTCTTTTCTGATTGCTATGGCTAGGAATTCCAAACTACATTGAATAATAGTGGTGAGAATGCACACCCTTGTCTTATTAGACCTTAGAGGAAGTACTTTCAGTTTTTCACCATAGAGAATAATATTTGTGGTGGGTTTGTTTTATATGCCCTTTATTGTGTTGAGGTAGGTTCCTTCCATACCAATTTTCAGAAGAGTTTTTTTTTCATAAATAGGTGATGAAGTCTGTCAAAAGCTTCTTCTGCATTTATTGAGATTATCATATGATTTTTATCTTTCAACTTGGTAATGTGGTGTATCACATTGATTTGTGTATATTGAAGAATCTTTGCATCCTTGGGATAAACTTGATCATAGTGTATGATCCTTTTTATGTGTTACTGGATTCTGTTTGCTAGTATTTTTTGAGGATTTTTGTGTCTGTGTTCATCAGTGTCACTGGTCTGTAATTTTCTTTTTGATATCTTTGTTTAATTTTGGTATCAGGGGATGGTGGCCTCATAGAATGAGTTTGGGAGTATTCCTCCCTCTGCAATTTTTTGGAAGTGTTTGAGAAGGATAGGTGCTAACTGGCCTCTAATAAAAGTTTGATAGAAATCACCTGTGATGCCATCTGGTCCTGGACTTTTGTTTGTTGGAGGATTTTTAATTGTTGTCTCAATGTTATTATTTGTGGTTAGTCCATTGATATTTCTGTTTCTTCATGGTTCAGTCTTGGTGGGTTATACCTTTCTTAGAATTTGTCAATTTCTTCTGGGTTGTCCGTATTATTTGCATGCAGTTGCTTGTAGTAGTCTCTTAATGATCCTTTGTATTTCTATAGTGTCAGCTGTAACTTCTCCTTTTTCATGTTTAATATTATTGATTTGAATCTTCTTCCTTTTTTTCTTGATGAATTTGGCTAAAGGTTTATCAATTTAATCTTCTCAAAAAAATCAGCTTTAGTGTTTTTGATCTTTGCTG